ACTCCCTCTAGCGTGTCATGTTTGTTTTCACAATTCTGAGCAGGAACAAGTCCTGCAGTCTTTTTGGGCTTCTCCAGTGCTCCAATCTTGTGGAGCTTATTGCTGGTGCTCACTCAATACTTACCTGTTCATAGAAAGCATTTACCAAGTGCATTTGCTGCTCTAGTAAGTAAGTCTTAAGTAAGCCAAAGCAGGAAGACATCTGGGGCAATGAGATTCAGACATTGAGACAAAACAGGAACATAGCCAGGGCAACTGGCAGAAAAGCAGAGATGGTCCAACAAGAATTTTTCCAAAGAATATCAAATGCTGTGAGCCCAGTTATCCCTAGTTCATGTTTAACACCAGAGAAAGGGCTTCAGGCAGATTCCAGGACAGAGCCTGGGGCTTGGATTCAGAGGATCTGAGCACTGCCTATCTTAGAATAAATATGGTCTTCCAGAGTTCCTGTAGACCTGTAGATGGAAGTAGAATAGACTAGATAAATGTCTTTTGGGTGAAGGAGAGGGTGTTAGTCCTGGGGCTTGAACTCACAGCCTGGGCACTGTCCCTGAGTTGTTTTTGTTTTTTTGTTTTTGTTTGTTTTTGTTTAAGGCTAGAGTTCTACCATTTGAGCTACAGCTCTACTCTGGCTATATTAGCAGTTAATTGGAGATAAGAATCTTATGGGCTTTTCTGCCAGGGTTAGCTTTCAATCATAACCCTCAGATCTCAGCCTCCTGGGTAGCTAGAATTACAGGCATGAGCTAATTGATGCCCTGCTCCATAATTATCTTCTTTCAGAGGAAACAGAGGCAGAACTAGATGAAGCAATGGATTTTTTTCTGAGAAGTACAGACTGCAAGTTTCTCATTTCTGGCCTTAGGAAAATGACTTTACTTTCCTGAGTCGTTTCCTTGCCTGAACATTGAAGAGATAAGTTTAGTCCATCCCTACGGCCCATTCCAGCTCTCCCAATCACAAACTTAGTCTCAGAAGGAAAACAATGAGCTCTTATCTAATCCTGACTTGGTCACCTGTTCTACCACCACCTTTGACCAGCGACTCTGTAAGGCCCAGGTTCTCATTTACCTAACTGTGTGCTTATTGTACCACACGCCACAGAACCTGCTGCCTGTCAAAACAAAAACTATCTTTTTTTTTTTTTACACAGAAGCACATTAATATCCCTAATTTTACTCCTGGTTTAAAAGTATAATGGAAGCTCATGCAGAATACTCCTGGTTTAAAAGTATAATGGAAGCTCATGCAGAATAATGACAAACGTGAAGATGATAAAACAGTAACTCAGAAATAGTCACTGTTAATATCAGGTTATATTCCTTTTCAGTATTTTTCTGGGCGAGAGTGCTCACATATCACTAATAATGGTCATACCATGTACGGCACTTCACATAGAAAGAACATTCAGTTCTGTGTAATTTTCCCCATTGCTGCCTTGAGTAGTGTTGTTCTGAATATAGGGGGCCCTCTGCTGTTGCCTCCCTTCTTCACAATGTGTTTTTGACACCACTGACAAGGAAAGAAATACAGACACTGGAATAGAATCAGAGGACTGTTTTCAAGAGACCAGAATCTCACTTCACACCTGTTTAAATGGACAATACAACAAAGAAAAAAAATTATCTTCCTCTCCTACTTTATGGTGACAATTTTGTATTGAGGATTTTATATTGACTTACTGCTGCTCACATAGAAATGTACTGACTGCTTTCTTCAACCTGCTGTGGTTCATCTTTTCAATTTTTTCTTTGAACAGAATTTTCTAACACATGAAGACAGATGAACATTAGGTAGGAAAATTAGATCACTGGTGTGAGTTTTTCTTAACCTTTCCTTCCTTATTTTTCTTCCCCAACAAATGTTTGCAATAAGAGAATAAAAATATGTATTTCTAATGTGTTAATTGTGACAAGCTTTCCTTGAAATCCCAGAGAGCCCAATGCAGGATGTACAATGTTCTCTGCTTGTGATGGAGACCAAGAGACAGAAGGAATTGAGGCTTGCTCCAAGATCACAGTGAGCAGGTAAAAGGGCAGCCAGCACTGAAACCAAGCTGTTGTTCTGCCCACATTCCCTATTCCCAGGGCTAGTTATCCTTGCATTTCTCAGCATAAAGAGAAGATAGATTCTCAACAAAGAAGAGGACAATAACCAGTATACTATCTGAGTATCCCTGGGGAAGAACAAGGAGCAATACATTTCCATTTATCTAGTAGGTATTATATGTCATGTGCAAGTTCTCTTTCTAGAAGCTTTAAATAGAAGACATAGAAAATTATAAGCTATAGGGGGCTGGGAAGATGACTCAGTGGTAGAGTGCTTGCCTTGCATGCATGAGGCCCTGGGTTTGATTCCTCAGCGCCACATAAGCTGAAAAAGCCAGAAGTGGTGCTGTGGCTCAAGTGGTAGAGCGCTAGCCTTGAGCTGAAGAGCTGAAGGACAGTGCCCAGGCCCAGAGTTCAGGCCCCACGACTGACCAAAAAGAAGAAAATTATTAGCTCTAGTACCTGCTTAATACAGTTAGGGGGATATACTATTTAGCTCTTAGGCAAGAGCCTGGCACCTATAGTAAATAATGCATAGAAGTTTTATCAATCAATGAAAGTCTGTAAACATCTCAGCTAAGCAATATAGTCCCTCACATTATGTAAAAAACAAACAAACAAAACAACTTTACATTTTGTAATGCATCCCACAATTTTATGGAGAAGATATGCTTATCCTCATTTTATGAATGGGAAAAATGTGTCCTAGAGAGAAAACATTTTTGTCCAAGGTCATATAACTAATGAAATAAGAATCTGTCCCCAGGGCTGGGAAGGTGGCTCAGTGGTAGAGTGCTTGCCTTGCATGCATGAGGCCCTGGGTTCGATTCCCCAGCACCACATAAGCAAAAAAAAAAAAAGAAAGAAAAAAGAATCTGTCCCCAGTGTGTATGCCTTGAAACCACAATACTGTGCTATCTCCGACCCTACACGAGACTCTCTGAATATAGGACTATCAAATTGCTCTTCTATCATGCTAGTTATACTCGTACCAATACGTTTTAATTGAATAAAGTATCAACATGCTTCTTTCTTTGTGTTCTTTCTTGACAACTTTAGACACTAAATCTAAAATTGTACTCTCATAAACTAAAAGCATAATGGTATCTCCTATTGTTTTGCTTTTTTTTAAAAAAAGCATACTGAATGATGCACCATCTCACTTATAGTTAAAGAACACTTGCTTTGAGTAGATGTGGAGGCACATGCCTGTAACCCAGCACTCAGGAAGCTGAGGGCTCAAGAATTACAAGTTCAAGGCCAGCCTGGACTACATATTCAGACTCTGGTTTAAAAGAAAAATGCTTGCTTCAACTGTGTGATTTAAATGATTCAAAAGGCACAATGGGATATTATACCTAAGTGCATGGAAATGAGATGGACCCAAGACAGATTTTAAGTGTAACTGAGTATGTTTATTTCACTTATAATATCAATTAGGTATCCCTTATTGGAAATGCTTGGGACCAGAAGTGTTCTTTTTAACCTCAGATTTTTTTTGTGTAAATGTACATATCTATTGTGAGATATTTTGAAGGTGGGATCAAGTATACATGGAAAAGAAAGTTCACTTCTGTCTCATATATACATAGGCTGAAGGTAATGTTTTTAAAAATAGGGCCTTTTGATGTAGCCCTGGCTGGTTTTGAATTCTCTCCCTTTTCAGCCTCAGCCACCTGAATGCTGGAATTACAGACATGTACTACCAAGCCCAGCTCTGAAGATAATTTTATATAATATTTAAAATAATTTTGTTCATGAAATGAAATTTCATGATGTGAGATTTTCCACTGTAGTATCATCTTGGGATGCAAAATTGTTTGTATTTAAGAGCATTCTGGGGATTTGATTTTTGGATTAGGGATATTCAGCTGGTATACCGCCACGGTCCAAACGTTCTTCATCAAGTGTCTTCAACGTGTCACAATAGTCCTGTAACAACCAAATGCAATGGGCATCTGCTTCCTCATCTGTGTTTACAAAACGTCCTTCAGATTTTTCTCTTCTTTTGGCTTGTGGGACATATGTACTGGATCCCCACTGTTTCTGACAGCATTCCAAATGTGGCAGCAGAATACTCTTCATATATCCATCCCCTAACTTTAAAGATCCCTCAAAAATTGTCCTTGGACATCTTTGCAGTTTGTCTCCACATTAACAACCTGATAAATCTCATTTCAGTCCGATCCAGGTTTCTTCTTGGGTCCTCCTTACAAATAGCCCATAGGACCTTAAAACAGATGTCAGCACAGAACTTTTTGTTTTTTCTTTTCCTTCCCCAACACCAGCAAAGAGTCCCTCCTGTGTGTTCTCATTCCATAAACAGCATTGCAATCCAGTGTCCAGCTACTCATTCCATATTAGTTCTGTCCCTTAAATTGTTTTCAAATCTGTTCCGCATGTAGCCACACTGTAAAATAAACCAGTAGAGGATTGCTGATTGTATATATATATATGTATATGTATATATATGTGTGTGTGTGTGTATATATATATGTGTGTGTGTGTATGTATGTGTATACACACACACACACACACACAAATGAACAAACCAGGGGAGAAAGAGTAAATTGAAGCCCCCTACAGCACAGCATGCCAGTCAATCACTGAGTCGGTCTGACAGGTCCTTGAGTTCATGCAATTCAACCATGCAAGGCCATTCCAATGTGCACATCAATCGATGTTTTCTTGCACTTGCCTGCTTACCTCCTCCCTTCCAATGCATCCTTCGTTCTCGAATGTTCTCTCTACCCTCTCCTCTAGCCTCTCTCTACCCGCTCCCTTCCCTCTTCCCTCCGCCCGTCCTCACCCCCCCCCCTCCTCCCAGCACGCTGGTCAGCTCCTCTCCCGCGCGCCGACAGCCCCGCCCACGCGGAGCCAGTAGTCACGAGTCTGGGGGCGTGGCGCCGACAAGGGGGCGGAGCCAACCCTGAGCTCCGCAGCGCGCATGGGTGGAGCCGGGTGCGCGGGGGCCCGACCTGCTATATCTGCGCCTGCGCGGCCCGGACGGCCGGGCCAGTCGGGACGGAGGAGACAAGATGGCGCTGCGGGCGATGCGGGGAATCGTGAACGGGGCCGCACCCGAGCTACCGGTGCCCACCAGTGGGCCGGTGGCGGGAGCTCGGGAGCAGGTGATGGCAGCGAGCCGGAACTACCTCTCCCAGCCTCGCCTCAGTGAGTACGGCCCGCAGGAGGCCGCGGGTCCCCGCGTCCTCGCCCAGCGCCGGGCTCCCTCTCACCTGCTCGGCCCGCGGGGGAGGGGGGGTTCGTTTTTCCCTCCCGCCCCGCGTCCCTGCGTGGATCCGCGGGGTTCTGCACCTCCCATTTCCGTGACGTCGGGGGCCTCGGGCCCCCCTCGCCACCGGCTCCCCGGGAACTTCGCCCGGGGCCGGTGGGCTCCCTGCCTCCCTCCCCAGCTTGCCCGGGCCCGGCCGTCACCTCCCACCTCCTCGGCCCGGCTCGGCCCCGGGCGGGGGGGGGAGGGCTTGCCGCCCCGGCGAGGACCCGGGCAGGTTGCACGCTCCTCACCGGGTGGACCGCGGAGAGCGGTGGTGTGCGTTCGCTGACGTGGTCGGGCCTGGGCCGGGTGCAGGGCAGGCCCGCCTCCGAGCGAGGAGGGGGAAGGCGTGCCGGGGGGGGGGGCTGCCGCCCCACCCCGGGACGCCTAGATACCCGAGATGGTCCGCGGGGCTGCCAGGGACCCGGCCGGGCATCCAGTCCAGCCCTCTCACTTTACAGGTGAGAGGCCGAAGGTGCTGGGATCACCGGCGCTGGGGCCGGCACCGCCGCGGCTGGCCAGAGCCGGAGCCCAGCACCCAGGCTGCTGCTTCTTCTTTGGCTGATCCTCCCCCTGCCCTCCCCCCCGCTGCTCTCCCCCCCCTCCCCCAGTTGCTTTTCTTCGCTTACTCTTAACCAGCTAACGAAAGTTGGTTGAGTGCGAGGTTCTTTGGGAACACGAAGGAGAGTTGCCAGTATCTAGGCTGTGTGGGGAGGCTTCAGGATCCCATTGTGATGATAGCAGAGTGGCCTTAATCTACCGGGTTTGAGTAAACAGCTCGGCGGTTGCAACAAGAAATGGTTCTTCCTTACTGGAGGTTACAGTCCTGTAGCATCAAACCTTTTTTTTTTTTTTTTTTAAACTGTTTCCCGGGGTACTGAGGATGAGCCCTAGAAATAAGACTTAAAAAACGTGGGGGAAAGGGGGGGAACTTGGCAAAGTACCTGGTGTTTCCCCCAGGTGTATCTGTCGTTGCATTTGCTCTGGTTAATTGCTAGCCTGTCTGCTTGTGGGTGGCTCTTTGGTTGAAAGATGAAGGGTTTTAGTGGGGCGCCCTCCAGCCTGACTAATCCTTTTCTGATCTGTCAGTGGGTCATGTGACAGGCACTGCAGTGTGAGGAAGGAGGAAAACATTGGAGCTTGCGGATTGCTGAGATGGGCATTTTTACGATTCTTTGAATTAAGAGAGTGGAGCGGGAACTTACATGATGTCTAGAAATGGGCAGTTCTTGCATTCTTACCCAAACCTTGACAGCAAGTTTATTCCTAAAGATTAGAAATGTTCTTTCTTTCCTGAGTTGCATTTGTGATCTTTTCTTTGGGCAAGACAGTTTTTCTACACTGATGTTGCTTGTAGAAAAAGGTATTCAGGGTACAGTAGTCATTTTCCATGCAATCCTTCATTCACTGTCACCTATCAGCTGAAATAATGATCTTGTTTAAACCGTGGTTACCATGATTAAAGTGGTAAGCCCTTCAGGGAGATAGTATGGTTTTTCCATGTCCTGTGCTAGTGGCTGAAGCCTCCAGGGAGATTCCTGCTGACACAAAAATTGCAGTGCTTAAAATGGGGATCCATTTGCATCACTGTGCCTCACAAGTGTTCTACAACTCTTGTATAGCATGATTTAAATCCCTGTGCGAATAGTTTGAATGAATGGGGTGAGAGTGGAGAGTTACAGTATCTGGCCAAACTGAATTTCCCTTCTAGGAATTATTCCCAAAAAGCATTATGTGATATCTTATATAAGCCAACATCCATTTTAACTGCATTTGAGCATTGTTTTCCTCTTTTGCTATATTTTTATAACAGATTTAAATACTCCTGAATAATATCTTAATTTCTTTTAAATAAATGTTGATACTAAGTAATTATTGTTACTTACAGTGTGGTTTTGAATTAAGGAATAGAGTAATATCAACAGTTACAAATTAGATCCAACTTAAAAACAAGTTGGGGAGTATAGGGCTGTTAAAAAGAAACGAAAATAAGATAATCATACTTGAAATTAATAGTCTTGAAGGCTTTAGTTTCTAAAATCACAGGAAAAGGAGGTTTGCTTTTATTAAAAAAGTTCTGATCAAAGGTCAATAATCCATAGACCCTGTGAGCGCTAAATGTTTTGAATTGATGATTTCCTTTTGTCTTGAGACATGGGTGAACTAGCCATGTGGTTTTTTAACATCATAAAGTAGAACAAGCCTTACCAAAAAGTCAAGTCCATATCTGCTCTTTTTTTTTTTTTTTCTCAAGAAAACCTCCCTTACATGCCCACTGCTAGAAGTGAGGCCTCTACTCCTTTTGCACAATGGAAGGTAAATGCTTTCTGAGTTGTTTTCCTATGAAGGTGGAGCATAAAGGACTGGGGTTTATTGTGCAATGGCTGCAAATTCTTTTCTTTGGATATGTCACAATCAGTAAGGGCGTTAGTGTTGAACAATCTCCAATCTCTTACTCTGCAGGAGGAAGAGGATGTCATCTGACAAAATATGTACTCAAGTCTTAATTTTTTTCCAGTGTTATTTTATAAATATTGCTTGCTTTGTGGTTCACAAAGATAGGACTTTGTGAAACGTGTTGAATATGTGATGTAAGCACATATCTTCTATGCTGTCAGCATTATGACCCTCTCTATACCACCTATCTACTCTAGTGCCTGTGAGATTTTCAAGAGAAGGGTGACTTTGAGCAACAGAATAATTTATGAATGGGTTTTGTTTTTTTGGGGGGGGGTCCAATCGTGGGGCCTGAACTCTGGGCCTGGATGCTGTCCCTCAGCTCTTCAGCTCAAGGCTAGCGCTTTACCACTTGAGCCACAGTGCCACTTCCGGCTTATTTTTTTCTGCTTATGTGGTGCTGAGGAATCAAACCCAGGTCCTCATGCATGCAAGGCAAGCGCTCTACCATTGAGCCACCTTCCCAGCCCTGTGAATGGGTTTTGAAGAACAACTTAATGTCTTTGACACCTTAGGTTCTGAATTGATGCCTCTGTTTGAAACTGTTACAGTTATGGTGATGGATACTGGCTGAATAAAAAGTAGTGTGTGTTTTTTAACTATGGTAAAGAAAAATATGATACTATTTTCTTTATTGTTTTGTTACCATGGAAGGAGCTGTGGTTTGTATTTTAAAGTCTAATGCTAGGAACTGTGATCACTATATTTTAAAATCACACTGTGAATTAGGGTCAGAAGTGTCATAGAGGAGCACCTGCTACCTTGTAATTAAAGAAGAGCAAAACAACACCGTTAGCAAGCCTGGCCTCCATTTGGTAATAGACTTCTTGAGGCTTTCCTTAAATGTGACATGAGGTTGTTCCAGCCTTGTGTACCTCAGCATTCTGTGAAGATACAAGCTGGTGCCCCTCTTTGTAAAAGCTTTGTGTGCTCTTCAAATAAAACTTTGGTAGTATTTTCATTTAGTTTGGGTTATAAAATTTATTGGTTTGGTTTTTATATGGCAGCTTAATATAAGCCAGAATCCCCTCTGATTTGTAGTAGGAATAGTCTCCTGATGTTTCTCTTGATTGCCGTGAGGGGAAACAGCACCCGCTTCTCCATCACATATTTGTCCTCTACTTAAACTCTTTAGTAGCGATGACTCCACTGTAGACAGATGGTTTTGTAGTGAGAACAAAATGTAGACACAGGGGACTGGGAAGGTGGCTCAGTGGTAGAGCGCTTGCCTTGCATGCCTGAGGCCCTGTGTTCGATTTCTCAGCACCACATAAGCAAAAAGAAAAAAGCCGGAAGTGGGGCTGTGGCTCAAGTGGTAGAGCGCTAGCCTTGAGCTGAAGAGCTGAGGGACAGCGCCCAGGCCCAGAGTTCAGGGCCCATGACAGGACCCCCCAACCCCCCTCAAAAAAAGTGGACACAGGAAAACACTGTCCAGTGTAGGAAAAGTAAAAATTTATCATTTTCCTAGCTAAAGTTACAAGTTTATGAAATTATTTCGTGTGATAGTGTTACACGGTTTGGTAATAAGTAGTAGCATATACTTTATCATAAAAACAAAAAGGAGAACCCAGTTTGGTTTTAGAATGTAGGTGCAGTAGAAGTAAAGGTCAGATGTCTAGATGGAGACAGATTGCAGGTTGATCCTTGGGCAACGTACTTTGTTTTTCTGAGAATAATGTATTCTCTTGTAAAACTTAGACCAATAACAGCCACCTCACAGGTGTGTGATGAGGCGAGAGTTCCTGAGAAACACTCCTGGCAGGTGTTGATGTTTAATCACTTAAACATAGGAGGTTTATTTCCTGGCTTTGAAAAGGCTATGTGCAGTCTTTGATGAAGTGGAAACTTGTCTTCCGTAGTAGAAGCCCATTCCATTTGCTGTTTCCAGGAACAGCCATGACTAATACTTCTTTTTCTTGGTCATGCTTTTTGCTTGTGACTGGCAAAACTTCATAGGTTGGAATGTTTCAGTTTTAAACATGAGATTCTGAGGCATAGTTGTTGTAGATTAGAATTCAAAGGAGAAACTGTCTTGTTGAATAAAATAATTATCAGAATTTGTGGGATTTTGATGATGTGCTTTACTTGTAAATATTAAAACTAAATTCCTTCCCCTTTTCCTCATTAGTTAAGTAAGCGTTTGAAAAACTTGTGTTTGTTATTTTCCCACACTGAGCTTTAAGAAGACCCATTTCTAGTGTAGCTCACTTTGTATTTCCACATGCAAGTTTTCAGAAAGTCATTGAACATAGATGGTCTGGAGTCTTTTTTTTTTTTTTTTTTCCATTCTGCCAGTCCTGGGGCTTGAACTTAGGGCCTGGGCACTGTCCTTAAACTTTTTTTGCTTAAGGTTATTGCTCTACTACTTGAAATACTGTTCCATTTTTGGCTTTTTTGGTAGAGAATTAGAAATAAAAGTATCACAGACTCTCCTGCCTGGGCTGTCTTTGAACCATGATCTTCAGATCTCAGCCTCTTGAGTAGTTAGGATTACAGGCATGAGCCACTGGTGCTCAGCTATCTTTACAATCTTTTTGAATAAGAATAATGAAGTTTTTGGAAATTTAAATCTGGGTTTTTACAGCAGTATTGGGCGTATTTTACAGCAGTTTGGGCGTTTTCTTGCTAGTGTGCCATGAAAATGTACCATACCTTAGGGGAAAATTGATCTTTTATACTATCATCTGTTTAGATAGCTTACTTTTCAGCTTGTGTTTGTACCAGAGCATTTGTTTGCTTCCTAGCCTTGGGCTGGAAAAGTTGTCATTTAAAAAATCTGAAGGCCCTTGGGTAGAGAGACTGGTTCTTAAATGGTTTCCTCATTCTTGGTAGTTCATATTTGTGCTGGAATGTCTGTCCAAGTTCGTTAGAAGACTTCAAAAGAAATCAAGCAAATGAAAGATTCCTAATTGGTTAACAGTTTCATAAAAATAATGTTGGGCTTTGTAGTACATTTGCTTCAAAAGTTTATCTTGTGTTCTTTAGCTGTTCTGATTACGAAATTAAGTGGGTTTTTGTGTGTGTGTGTGTGTGTGTGTGTGTGTGTGTGTGTGTGTGTGTGTGTGTGTGTGTGTGTGTGTGTGTGTGTGTGTGTGTGTGTGTGTGTGTGTGTGTGTGTGTGTGTGTGTGTGTGTGTGTGTGTGTGTGTGTGTGTGTGTGTGTGTTATACCCAATGGCCATTGGGTATATTTGCCAGAAAGGACGATTCCTTCCTTTTTAAATGAACAAGAGAATAATCTAGACATTTATTTCTAGGGCAACTTGGTGTAGTGAATAATAGTTCTCTCTTTAACCTGAAGATGACATTTGATAACCCTACACATGCCTGCCTTTTTGAAATGGAGTTTCCCTATTATGTGCAGGCTGTCCTCAAACTAGCCATTCTTGCTCCTCACCTTCCCAAATAGCTGAGCTTATTATAGCTAACCCTTTGGTCCATTGTGTACCCTTCCTAAACAGGCTCCTCTCCCATAGCCCTGCAGGCCAGTTTCTCGGTGCCAGTTGTGAGTTTTTGTCTTCTGCTTTAACTTGTTAAGGATTCCCTTTCCTTCCCTCATCTACTTAGCTAAGTTCCATCTCTCCTGCAAAGCTTTTCCTGTTCTTTCCAGGACAAGGAACTGTCATTCTGGTTTTGCTGTGTCTCCAGGAACGTTCTGCATGCTGTGGGTACAGCCCTTGCCTTGTCCTGTTGAAGTCCTCCCCACAATCATAGGACAACTGGACTTTTTCTACTTTTTTTGTTTGTTTGTTTTTGTTTTTGTTTTTTGGTGTGTGTGTTTATTGGGGATTGAATGCAGGGCTTCTATGCTAGACTTAACATTTTACTGCTTGAGCCATGCTACTAGCTATTTTATTTTGAAACTGAACTTCTAAAGGCGGGCAGCCTCTCTGCTTTGTTTTAGTATCCTTGATTCTGAGAAAATGACTTCGTTCTAGTAGGACTTAGAACGTTCAGATGGTTTATAAAATTTGTTCAGGAAGTGAGCTAGGAAGGTGGCTCAGTGGTAGAGTGCTTGTCTTGCATGCATGATGCCCTGGGTTTGATTTCTCAGCACCACATAAGCAGAAAAAGCTGGAAGTAGCACTGTGGCTCAGGTGGTAGAGCACTAGCCTTGAGCTGAAGAGCTGCGGGATAGCACCTAGGCCCTGAGTTCAGGCCCCACAACCGAACCAAAAAAAATATTTTTCAGGAAGCACCATATTTTACAAATTCGTTGAAAATTTGTGTAGCTATTTGAGTGTTGCGTATTGTGATAGTAGAATAAGCAGAGAAGTTTGGGTGCTACCAGACAGGCAATGTAGGCTTTTATGCATTTCACTAAAGCTGATTTTTCTTGTTTCTTCCAGCATACAAGACAGTGTCAGGAGTGAATGGTCCACTAGTCATCTTAGATCATGTGAAGGTAATACCACTGTCAAATATAGTCTGATTGCTGATGTACTTGAAAATGTAGCATTAGAACCTGTTCATGTACTTGAACCTTTTGTTAAGAATTTTAAGCTATTCTGTGATATAAATGTCAAGCAGAATTTGAAACCAAAAGTCAGAAAACTGAATTCTGGTACTAGTGGTAGTGGCTTTTGAGTCCCTCATTGGAAGAAAGGGAAAACAATAATGTTAGTGTTTTGTAATCTGTATAATATAGGATAGTGTATATATGTATATGTATTATATATACATATGATAGCTTTTGTTCTTGATTGTAGTGTGCCATATGTTCTAGTTCTTTTCATAGCTTTTCTTGTTTCTTACTAAATGTTAAGCTCGAGTAAGAAAGCATTGTTGTTTTATTTTCAAAAGCCTGACGTTGTTCTTCAAATAACAAACAAAAATAGGTTATCTCAATAATAACTAAAACCCTAAAGCAGCATTTGTATTCATTTTATCTACAGATCTTTACCTAACTTTTTTTTGCCTATACATAATTATAATTATCTCTGAGAAAGGGAGAAATAAAATATATTTTATAATTAAATACCTTGGGCTAAGCTTCCTGTCTGAGCTCTGTGATCAAAATAGTGATAGTTTGCCTCATCAGCACAAAGGTCTGAATACAAACCCCAGTACTGCTAAATATAAGTATGCGTGCACGTGAGCACACGCGCGTGCACGCGTGCCTCCCCCCCCCCCACACGTAATACGTAGAATGTATTTTCTAGAATGGTGATTCTACATGGGTTGCTATTACTGTGGCAGACTTCACTTTAGCAAGTCTCACTCACCCACCCAACCCAAAAACAAACATTTCTGAAAAGAAAGGGCAGGCGGACACTGGTGACTCGTACTTATTATCCTAGCTGCTTAGTAGGCTGAGATCTGGGAACTGTGTTTCAAAGCCAGCCCACAAAGACAAATCTAGGAGACTTACCTCCAGTTAACTAGCAAAAAGCTGCAGACAGAGATATGACTTAAGTGGTAGAAAGTCAACTCAGAGCCAGAAAACAGAGTGAAAATAGAAGGCCCTGAGTTCAAACCCCAGTACTAGTACAAAAGAAAATTTCACTAATCTTTTTGACAGGAACCTTTGCAGAATAATCTTGAGATTAAGCCTAGCAAGTTTACTTCCTTCCACACTTCCGTCCCATCTGCAGATTGATCAGTGACTCCATGTTTGCACTTGGGTTTTACAAGATTTAGGCCCTGTTAATATTTAGTGTTTTATTTATTTATTTATTTTTTTGGTGTTGGGGATTGAACCTGGAGCCCATGCTTACTAGGCCCTGATCGTCCTACCACTGAGAAAATCTTCAACCCTACTTTTATTTTTGAAGAATGCATTTTGAAACTTTTGTTTCTTTTTCTTCTGTCAGTTGGGGCTTGAACTCAGGGCCTAGGCACTGTCCCTGAGCTTTTTTACTCAAGGCAAGTGCTCTACCAGTTTGAGCCACAGCTCCACTCCCTCTACCAGCGTCTACTTTCTGGTGGTTAATTGGAGATAAAGAATTTGAGTGATTTTCCTGTCTAGGCTGACTTTGAACTGCGTTTCTCAGATCTTAGCCTCCTGAGTAGCTAGGATTACAGGTGTGAGCCACTAGCATACCAGGTTTATTTTGTTTTTCTTATTTTCTATATTCTCTAAATAAACTTTGGGCTCATGTTTTAAACCATTAAAGTTTTCATAGATTAGTAAGTGTATTATTGAAATATATTTGAATTCATCTCTGTTATACTTTGAAGTCAGCACAGGCCCTCCTCCAGTGGAGGGAATCTAGTAGAAGGCATATATAAATATTTGGAGGTGTAATTAGTAAGTGCTGCAAAGGGTAACTTCAGATGATATTGAAGACAGTAACAGAAAAGACACAGAAATGTCTCTGGGAAAGTAATTGTAAGAGAACTAAAAAGTTTCCTTGAATGTTATTTTGTGGTAAAGTGTAGGTGAGGAAATGCTATTAAATTTATGTTATAAAAATACCATTTTATATAATGAGACTTAGAGTGGGTGTTTTTATTTTGTTTTTAGTTTGGGGTTTTTGTTTTAATTTAAACCATGCACTTAATATCAAGGAACAGAGAATTATGCAGAAATTCTGTCTGAATAGAAGATGGAGAGAGGTTTTCTAGCTCACTGCATGAAGTTAGCTGTGTTGAATTCTAAAACCAGAGGGTAATATTAGAACAGAAAAATAGAGCTGTTTTCCCTTATTAGCAAAGATTCCTAAATTCTTTTTCTTTTCTTTCTTTTGTGTGTGTGTGCGCGTGTGTGCGCGTGTGTGCGTGTGCATGCCAGTACTGAAAAAGGAGCAAGTATCCACCACAACCTAACAGCAAATAACATACTTGTTTGTTTAAATCAGTGAGAACTCCTATTTTCTTCCTGTTACTATTCTTGGTACTTCTAACACTGAAGTATGTGGGTTCTAACACGAAAGTGTATGGGTTTTTCTCCCATTCATTATAAAAGTTCCATTCATTATAAAAAGTAGAAGACTTACCTTTTACCTTTTTTCTCCTATAAAGAAACTACAAGGGTTTCAGGTACTCTGGCCAAGACTTACTGACCAAATATATATTTCTCCAATCACCACAAATTGAGAATGTCTATTGTCACTATCACTGTTCATCTTTGTATTTGCAACTTAGTAATTTCCTTTAGAAAATAAGAGTATAAAGGAAGTTAGAAGTTAAAAGGAATGCTGTCATTATTTCTTTATTACACTGAAACCTAGGGCAGTCACTGGCGAACTGTTAGAAGTAATGGTACAGAACAGCACAAATGGGTCAGACTACAGAAATCACCTGTGTCCTATGTGCAGATGGAACTATTTGCAACAAGCTGTAAAACTTTATGGAAAGGCCTTACAGAGGACTTCAAACTATTGGAGATTCCACTCCAGTTGTAGCGCAGTGAGGGTGGGGGAATCAAGCATCAGGACTTACTGCAGGAATAAGCATTTCAGTGGGACAGAATTAAGAACCCCAAACTGGCTATCTTCTTTTGAGATAAAGATAGCTGTATAGTCCATGATGGCCATAAATTCTCTTAAGTGCTAGTATTACAGATGTGAGCCACTGTCCAGCACACATGAGGTTTTGACTTGGTAATTTTGGTATTATGGGCAATGGAGACACTTTATTGTAGTCAAATATTGTTAGCAATGTTCATTTCTCCTATGAAAAATAATAAGAAATAAAGTAAACCCTCCAAATCCAGGTGAACTAAGGGCTTGTACTAAACATAAACCTATTAAAAGAAGAGTTTATGACTTCAAGTAGAAGGTTTTCCTAAGCAGGATACAAAAGGTATAAATCATAAAGGACAGCAGTTAATTTGTTTTCATAGGAGGTTTAAAAACTTATGTGTGATATAAGAAGCCATGAACAAAATTAAAGGGTAAGAAGCAAACTAGTAGAAGATTAATATCCTGACTATAAAATGCTTAGAAATGGAGAAAATACAAGATTGTCAAAAATAGAGGGAAAGGGGATACTTGTTAATACAAATGGGGAGATTATAAAGTAATGCAGCAGTATTTTTGCAGACTAAGTAGGCAGAAAATGGGTACAGCCTATATGCAGACCACCAGCTTTCATGAGGAACCACATGCAAGAGGGTGTTAGACCATTACGTACGAGTTATCAATATGGACCTGTACTTCATTGGTTAAACAGCTAAGTGTAATGGAATATGGCCATTAGGTCTTGTTAAAACTATCTAATTGCTTTCCCATTTCATTTATTCACTGTTTTGTTTTATTTGGGGGGCTATGTGAATTCAGTTGACCTGGAACTCATCATCATTATGCCTCAGTCCCTGATGGCTAGGATTGTGGGGATGAGTCACCACATCTGACCAATTCAGTTTTTAACATTTCAGAATCCATAGATCTTAAAATTGCTGGCGTGCAATAGTTTAGCATTTTTCCCATGTTATACAAATAGTGTTGTATCTTTCAATAGATTATTTTGACAGCTTGAAATATCAACGTGATATGTCAAAAAACAAACTTTACAACTTTGTTGGGACGGGGAGGGGGGCGGGGAGGATACGAAGGGATGGGAAGGGGAAACAAAGCAGGAGGCTACAATGCTTGATAAGAAATGTGCTCGTTGTCTTACCCATGTAATTGTAACCCCTCTGTACAGTATTTTCACAATAAAAATATATGTAAAAAAAGAAATATCAACATGAATACATTACCTTTAGCGATTTGAAAATTATGCGTATTTATTATATCACCATGGAAGTAAATAAACCCATGTATTTTTGGAGACATCTGTTCTTAAATGAGTTAACAGGAGATCCATATATATTGAGAGCTAGATTGTGAGAGGCATTGGACATTATTTTACTATGATAATAGTTTTCTTTACTAATATTTTATCCTCCTATGTATAACACATATCCTAGGAGGTACACATCACTTCCTATACTCTCAAACCTTAAAAACATGACCTCAGAGAGAAAGCAGTAAATTTAACTGTCATGTTTTCACAAGTTCAAAACCCTTTTCTCTGTACTTTGTGCTGTATTGGCCAGTACAACGTGTCAGGGGTGTGTGTCTTAAAGACAGCCTCTGAGGTGAGTGTAACCTCTCTGCCTAAAGCTGTGTGGTGTGGAGGATGGGAGGATTGGTTGCACACTACACAGCAGCACACTGTGGCCAGTGGAGATGGCATAGATGACTGCTTGGGAGCTTTTAAAAAGTTGGTGGTTGATCCTCTGTTTTTTCCTTCTTAGTTTCCCAGATATGCTGAAATTGTTCACTTGACATTACCAGATGGCACAAAGAGAAGTGGGCAAGTTCTAGAAGTTAGTGGTTCCAAAGCAGTAGTTCAGGTACGTATCACTTTAACAGCTTGGCCAATTTAGCTCTTTCATAATTAGAAACACATGGGGAGTCACATCAAAGGAGAGAGTTAAAAAGCAGAGTTCACTGATAACTGGATGAAACGAAAACAATAGCTGAATCGATTCCTGTAAAGTTACCTCTTGAAGTTCCTAGTTTATAATGTTACCAGAGTATGAAAATATTTTTCTCAAATAAGGTGTTCACTAAGAGCAGGAGTTAGCAGAATTTCTGTAAGAGTCCAAAAGGTAAATATTTTAGATTGTATAGGGCCACCTAAAGTCCTGCAGGTTTTCTTCCTTTTTTTTTTTTTTAATGACACTGGAGTTGAACTCAGGATCTTGTGCCTGGAGGTAAACACTACCATTTGAGCCAGCCTCCAATTCATCCTTCTGTTCTTTCATTTCCATTTTTTCTTTCAACAGTCTTCTATAAATGTAAGCAGCATTCTTAGTTTGCTTGTGGCATTTGACTTGCAGGCAGAGCCATTAGTCTGTCTAGTAAGTACTCATGAGCTAAATCTTTTACCCTTCTGATTCTCTTTCTTGATAGGTATTTGAAGGTACTTCAGGTATAGATGCCAAGAAAACATCTTGTGAGTTTACTGGGGATATTCTCCGAACTCCGGTGTCTGAGGATATGCTTGGTAAATGGATATTATTCCTTCTGGGCAGAGATGTTTTATTTTGAATAAATTTCTATAAAATCTAAAACAAAACAAAACAAAAAAAGACTATTTAAACATCAGAGTCCTCTGTGCTGTGTTGTCACTATCTGTAGGTCGAGTGTTCAATGGATCAGGAAAGCCCATTGACAGAGGTCCTGTGGTGCTGGCTGAAGACTTCCTTGATATCATGGGTAGGGACATGAGATGGATTCTATGTTTGGGAGAATGTACCTCTGTACCTCTATCTGGTGGGTAGGGACATTGGACGGAGTCTGTTTGGGGGAATGCACCTCTGTCTATCTGGTGGGTAGGGACATTGGATGGATTCTGTTTGGGATAATGTACCTCTGTCTATCTGGTAGCTTTGCCAGGGACAGCATGGTTTTTGTGTTGTTGTTCTAAGTAGATAATCAGTGTTCTCCTTGAGTAATAAATTAGGTAGTTATGTAATGAATTAGTTTTTCCTAGAAATTTTCTAGAAACTTATGCAGTATCTTGAGAATACTATAAAATACTACTAGAAGAGATCCAGATATTTATGGTAAAAATCATAGCTTTGAAATTAGAACTTCTTTCTCTTATTTTCTTATGCCCTTAGTGTATTCCACTAACTTGAATTTTATTAGTGAATATTAGTCTACAGAGGACTAAAGGGAAAAATTATTTCGTTTCAAAAATAACATTTTTTAAAGCAGAGAGAAAAAGGCTTTATAATAATTGTAATATTCTGGTGTTTTTTAATTTGATGAGTTTCTACTTCCATTCACAATGAATGTTGAGATTTAAGTTTTCTCTTTGGAAATACATTAGGTCAGCCAATCAATCCTCAGTGTCGGATCTATCCAGAGGAGATGATTCAGACTGGCATTTCTGCCATTGATGGCATGAACAGTATTGCTAGAGGGCAGAAAATTCCTATCTTCTCTGCTGCAGGGTTACCACACAATGAGGTAAGCACTAGGGTACTAGCTATGAAGTTTTTAGCAGGGAAGAATTTCTAAATGTATCACTGTTATTGAGAAACCAGACAGATACCCAGTATTGTTGTTATGTAAACCGGTGGAATTGAGTCTTTATTCATTCATTATTGTCTTATTGCTTATACTTAATGTGTCTTTGTAAATATTGCAGAAAGTTTTGTTAAGTCCTCAAACTCTCCAGTTTATTTAATAACTCTAGCTTTTAGAAATTTAAGATACGTTATTTTGTTGTAGAAATTTTTAGTTTTCAACTCAGTTCTTTTTGTTCTTATCAGATTGCAGCTCAAATCTGCCGCCAGGCAGGTTTGGTAAAGAAATCCAAAGATGTGATGGATTATAGCGAGGAAAATTTTGCAATTGTATTTGCTGCTATGGGTGTAAGTATAGGATTTTGTTTGGTATTTTGTATAAAATTATCTGTAATAACACATTACAATATTATTGTGCTGTTAGAGAAGTGTAGTCAACTTTGACTTTGTCTCCAGATTTGGGGCCAAACTAAGACTTAAAAATTTAGTATTTCACTAAAATTTAAGAATAATCTATAGCCATATACTGGTAGTTCACACATATAATTCTAACTCAGTCTGAGGATCAAGGTTCAAAGCCAGACATCTGTGAAATTCTTATCTCCAGTTAACCTGCAAAAAGCCCAAAATGGAGGCACTGTGTACAGCATTTGTAGTGGCACAAAAGGAAAAAAAAAGAAGAAGACTACTGTTCTTCATGCCTAAAACATCTTACTCAGTTAACTTTTGTGAAAAGTTTGTGGGTTCTTCAAATTTTACAAGAGGGAACAATTTAGATCCATAGCTTGACATTTATCTGTTTGAAAGTCAACATCTAAAATAAATGTTGGGAATTTTTCTTCTAACACTGATGAGATATTGCTGTTTAGGTAAACATGGAAACTGCCCGGTTCTTCAAATCTGACTTTGAGGAAAATGGCTCAATGGACAACGTCTGCCTCTTTTTGAACCTGGCTAATGACCCAACGTAAGTATATAGAGCTCTTTCTGTTTACCCAACCAAAAGTGTTACCTGAAGCTGGGTGCTAGTTGCTTACACCTGTAGTCCTAGCTACTCAGCAGGCTGAAATCTGAGGGTTGCAGTTCAAAGGTAGCCCATGCAGGAAATTCTGTAAGACTCTTTTATCTCCAATTAACCAGAAAAAAAAAAATTGATAAGTGGAGCTGTCACTGAAGTGATAGTGGTAGCCTTGAGCAGAAAAAGGCTGAGGGACAGCACCTAGCTCCTGAGTTTGACTGGCACACACAAACAAAAAGCATTGCTCTTTTCTTCCTTAAGGAAACCAGATGTATTAGAAACAATACTAATTCTTACCCCCAGAAGTTTAGGGAGGTAAATATTACAATGAAAGCTCATTGGCTTAGGAATGAAGAGACCTTAGATTTAAATTCCAGCCTCACCTCTTGGGAGTTCTTTTGGCTTTGCTCAAATTATCTAGCACTGAAGCTCATAAAATGTGACAAATATTTGTCTTCCAGGGTTGCTACACATGTTAAACAAGATAATATATGTACATATTAGCATATAATTGATACTTAATAAGTAACATTCTTATCTGAAAAATGTGGCTTGTTTTTTCAATCCTTCCTTTTCTCACCATTCCCCATCAGTTTTGAGGAACTGTATATAGCTTTGACAAATTATGGAGCATTTATAAAATAATCACTTTTGTAACATTAAGTAATTCTTATGTGAGTACTCAAATTAATGGACAAGAATTTTAAAGTAACCAGAAAATAACACAAGCAGACCAGAATTTTTAAAGTCATTGCTGTACTCTCCTCAACTTATTAACAAGTTGAAAAGAGAAGCTGCTACCGTTCTAGGATTGTGTTCTCTTTGTACTTGTGGTTTGAGTGACTTGGGATCGCTTTGCCTTTCAGTATCGAGCGCATTATCACTCCTCGCCTGGCTCTGACCACCGCTGAGTTTCTGGCTTACCAATGTGAGAAACATGTACTGGTTATCCTGACGGACATGAGCTCTTACGCTGAAGCACTTCGAGAGGTGACTTTTTTTTGCGGATTAATTTTCAGGGCTATCTTAACTTGGTAAAGTTCCCAATATTTTTTTTTTTTTTGGGTCCGGTCGTGGGGTCTGAACTCTGGGCCTGGGCGCTGTCCCTCAGCTCTTCAGCTCAAGGCTAGCGTTCTACCACTTGGGCCACAGCACCACTTCTGGCTTTTTTTCTTTTTGCTTATGTGGTGCTGGGGAATCGAACCCAGGGCCTCAGGCACACAAGGCAAGCGCTCTACCACTGAGCCACCTTCCCAGCCCCAGTAATGGTAATATTTCAATAAAGAGTCTGGCAACATTGTCTTTGGAACATATTTCTTCAGGAAACGATATATATTTAGAAACAGTACTGTGTTGTGGCTTAAGTGGTAGAGCACTATCCTTGAGCTGAAGAGCTGAGGGATAGTGCTCAGGCCCAGAGTTCAAGCCCCGTGACTGACCCTTCCCCTCCACCCCCCAAAAGGCTAGTCTGCATCAGGAAGTAATTCTTACAAAGAATCTCTGTTTTAGAATTTACTTCCTTTAATTTATAAAACTGTAACTGAATTTTCTTTTAGAAAACTATTTGAGAATTTATATTACAGCAATATAATTTTAGAAAAATGCTCGTCAGCATTTTTATACAGATGAACTTGAATTTACATTTCTAATAGACTTCTCGATCATCACTTTATGACAGTATTTAAACAGTATGAAATTCTGAACTTAGTGATTTGGCATATTTAGTCAAAAGGCACACGCTAGTGGAACTTCTATCTTGCCTCATAGTATTTTTCTTCTTGGCTTACTGTCAGGTTTCAGCAGCCAGAGAAGAGGTCCCTGGTCGACGAGGTTTCCCAGGCTACATGTATACAGATTTAGCCACGATATATGAACGTGCTGGCCGAGTGGAAGGGAGAAATGGCTCTATCACTCAGATCCCCATTCTCACCATGCCCAATGATGGTAAGTTATTTGGTGCTTAGTAGGCTTAATTATTGCAAGGGTCTAATTCTACCTCAGAAGACTTGTCTTCCCTTTTCAACTGAAATTTTCTTAGGCGCTTATCCTGTTAAGGGTTTGTCTTAGGCACCAGTGGCTCACACCTCTAATCCTAGCTATTCAGAATGCTTAGATCTGAGGGTTGCTCTTTGACACTAGCCCAAGTAGAAACGTCTGTGAGGTTATCATTGCCAGTTAATCACCAAAAAGCCCTAAGTGGAGATATGGCTCTAGTGGTAGAGTGCCACTAGTGGTAGAGCGGAAAAGCGAAGGGACCACACCCAGACACTGTGTGCTAGCCTCATTACTGATCCCAAGAAGAAAAACAGATTTGGCTTTAACTAGTTAATTTGTATCTAAATAAAAATTTTCATTTGAAAGTTTCTTACAATTGCCACTATCTTTTGTAGAATAAAAGTAATTTTCTTTGTAATTGGAATTTTAAATGTTTTATTTTTCAGATACTATTAAATGTTACTTTTTAGGCACTATTTTGGATATGAGAAAATTAATAATTTATGATCTCTTATTACTGTTAGTCTAGCTGGAGATTTTTTTATGTGTGAACTAGTAATAGCTTGTGTATATTAGATGTCCAAAGAAGGATACAGGTGGTGAAGACCACGAGACTTTAGAACTTTATCAACGTGTGTGCGCGCGCGCGTGCGTGCGTGTGTGTGTGTGCGTGTGTGTGTGTGCGTGTGTGTGTGCGTGTGCGCGCACGCAGTGCAGGCCCACCTGAACGTGCACTTCACGGTGGCCTCTGGGGGCACTGTTCAGAATTCCTCTAGGAAGGTGTCCTTTTGTCCTTATGTCACTTTCCAAACACCACTCCCAGCAGATGGGACTCACTGGAATTGAACACTGTTGTGAGTGTTTATGAACTCATATCTTCAGAGTAACTGTGAGGATTTTGCTGTAGTCTAAAACAGAGAGGTAAAGGAGTTTGTCAAGCTTAGGATGTGATAGATTCATCTCCTCGACAGTGTGAATTCATGTTTCACAGCAACTGTTAACACCATGCTGCCTCTGATGTGTTGTTCCAAAGAAGTAGCTGCAAAGCTGATTCTTGTACCAGGTTTAGGATTATCTTGCTGTTTAAAATCTTTTGGTGCTGCCTGAAAAGCGTTTCCTTGCTTGTGTAGCATCCCTATCCTCGCAGCACAGAATTTTGCTTATCTGTGTAAGGTGGTTTACAGACTGAGCATGTCTGTCACTGTACATAAAGTTGGCAGGTTTCTGGAAGGGACCTTTGTGTTTAAAGTAGACTTTTAATCCGGGCACGATGGCACATCCCTGAATTTCAGCACGTAGGAGGTTGAGGCAGGAGGATCACAATTCCAGGTCAACCTGGGCTACATAGAGTAAGACCCTGTTCCAGAAGGAAGTTTTATTTTTATTTGGAGGGAAAAAGCCCATAAGTGCAGTCAGTGTACTTCATAATGCCAACCCTTGTCTGAATTGCTGTAGCAAAGTTGATAGCCTAACGTGGTAGCCACTAGGCACATTTGTCTGTATTTCAGTTCATGTCAGTTAAATAAGATTTGAGATGAAGCTCTTTATTTCTGGTGTTCCGTGGCTTCATAGGATTATTGACTGCTGTATTCGATAGCACAGGTGCGTGAGGTTCCAGCACAGATGATTTATTCTGTGTAGCTCTTCTCTGCAGTGCTATAATTAACACGGACTGACTTCCTGTGCGTTGGTTATGCCTAACACCCTGTGTCTTCCCTTGCAGATATCACTCACCCCATCCCTGACCTGACAGGGTATATTACTGAGGGGCAGATCTACGTGGACAGACAGCTGCACAACAGACAGGTACTGACACTTGAGCACTGCTCAGGCTTGCTGAGCCCCTTATCATTTTATCATTGTTCTGTAGTGATGGCATTTTTGTGCTCGTGGCAGATCTTTTGCTTGGAAAGCATCAACTGAAGGTCAGTGCAGATGTCTAGTGTTTGTAATCCTAGGTACTCAGGAGGCTGAAATCTAGAGGATCACAATTTAAAGGCAACCTGTACAGAAAAGTCTGTGAGACTCTAGCTCCCAAATAACCAGCTAAAGGCCAGGTAGGAGGAGTGGCTCAAAGGGTAGAAGAACATCACCAGCTGAGCAAATGGGAGACCCTAAGTACCAACCCCAATTCCAGCAAAAAAAATAAAGCATAATGAGCTGTGCCGTTAGCGACTCACTGTAATCCCACATAACCTGTGAGGCTAAGAATAGAAGGATTGCGGTTCACAGTAGCCCAGGCAAAAGAGTTCATGAAACCCTATCTTGACAATAACCAGCAAAAGAACCACAAATATGGCTGGAGGTGTGGCTTAGGTGGGGCAGTGCCAGCTTAGTAAGCTTGCGGCTCTGAATTCAAACCCAGTGCCACCAAAATAAAAAAGTATATGAACGTGAATTTTTTGTTTTTTTTGTCGGTCGTGGGGTCTGAACTCTGGGCCTGGGTGCTGTCCCTCAGCTCTTCACCTTGAGGCAAGTGCCCTACTACTTGAGCCACAGTGCCACTTCCTGCTTTTTCTGCTTTTTCATAAGTAGAATTGAACCCAGGGCCTCATGCATGTTAGGCAGGCACTCTACCACTGAGCCTCCTTCCCAGCCCAATGTGAATACAAAATTATTTGTGTATTAAAATTCAAATGTGGATAACAGGCCAGAATCGGGCCAGAATCAGGAATGATCCCTTTATTATGATTTAAAATGTAGTTTGTTATTTTAGAGCTCTTGGGTACCTGTGTGTACTGCTGCTACCACCTGCCATCTCACTAGAAGTAGATTTGGATGGTTCTATAGTAGATGCTTGTTAACCATAGGTAATCTTACTTTGTCTATGGGCATTGAGGCAGATGTTTAAAACATGCACTTTTCAGAATAGTCTTGTTTTAGAAACTTTCAAAAGGACTATTGTGCTATAAATTCCTGTTACTTGTCACCTATGAAGCAAATTTGAGGGTGAATAGTGTATTTTAAATGCTTTGTTACTGCTAGTAAATATTATTTTTTTTACTTATTTATTTTTTCTTCCTATTCTACTCAAGATTTACCCTCCTATTAATGTGCTGCCCTCACTCTCACGGTTAATGAAGTCTGCTATTGGAGAAGGAATGACCAGAAAGGACCATGCCGATGTGTCTAACCAGCTGGTATGTATGCAGTGCATTCCCAAAGATGATGTTTAATAGAAGCAAATGCCTGCTTTCTGCTTCTTATCCTCTTCCCATTCATCCCAGCCAAGTCAAACTTCAACAGAGGATTGATGTGCAGGATTTTCATTTGAGCTAACGCAGCCTCAGAATAAAATCACCAAGATACAAACCTTTGCCTAATGCTATAAAAAGTAATTTTTTAGGGGCTGGGAAGGTGGCTCAGTGGTAGAGTGCTTGCCTTGCGTGCATGAGGCCCTGGGTTTGATTCCTCAGTACCACATAAGCAGAAAAGGCCAGAAGTGGTGCAGTGGCTCAAGTGGTAGAGCGCTAGCCTTGAGCTGAAGAGCTGAGCGACAGCGCCCAGGCCCAGAGTTCAGGCACCACAACTGACCAAAAAAAAAAAAAAAAAGTAATTTTTTAATTAAGAAATAAGTACCCAGGTTGTTTTAGTAATAATTATAGAGAGTTCATGAGAGAATGCTTCAAGGAACACTGAAGGATAGTGTTCTGGGTGCACTGTGAAGTCTTTGATCTCCTTAGTCATGTGAGATTGCACATCACAGAATACTTTTGACCAAAGTAGTAATAAACCTGTGTGTCACAGTGTTTTTTCTTAAAAGGAGCTTGATGCTAGATTTCTTCATGGTTTGACTAGAGTTCTGTGACTGGAGTTTTAGATGCTCAATGATTTGTAAGCTCACTGATGTTCTGAAGCAAGCATGCTTTTTGTAGTGTTAGTAATGTCTTGGGATGGCATGCCTAAAGCATGGAATGGAAGGGAATACTTCATAGGGAGATCCTTTGGGCACTTTCTGGTGAGCTTTGTGAATTGTGTTTGTACATGCTCTCTGTGCTCTCCGGCAAGCGGCACATTTATATATGGCAGATCATGGTTTACAAAGTTTTCTCCTCTTCAGTATGCATGCTACGCCATTGGCAAGGATGTACAAGCCATGAAAGCCGTAGTAGGAGAAGAAGCCCTTACCTCGGATGATCTTCTTTACTTGGAATTTCTGCAGAAGTTTGAGAGAAACTTTATTTCTCAGGGTAAGATGATTGTTTTCCTACAAACATTAAAAAGCCTCATGTAGTTTTCAAACCTTCCTTACTCAGACTGTATTAGAGAGAAGAGCCTCCAATCACCTATCGAGCCTTTTTGTCTGGCTCCTTGTCCCCTCCTTGTAAACACTGAGATCCTGACTTGATTGTCCAGTGGCTGCCATTAGAGTCACCTTTCTTCACGGCATTTCTAATCCCTGCCAGGCAGGGATCTCTGATTTTTTGCTTTGGGTGCTTGGGAGTTTCTCGATTCATCTCTCTGCATCTTCTTTTCTCATTCTTCTTGCTTTTTAATTGTTAATATTCTAAAGAGCTTCTCTTTCTGTGCTTCCCCTCCTCCAACACACACATGTGACCAGCACTGATTTATTTCCAGTAAGAAGAGGTTTGCTCACTTTTTATGTCATTTTCCTATTCCAGTATTTTCAGTCAGTTTTTCTGTGCAAACCTTTGTGTTATGGGGAGATTGCGTTTCTGCCTAATATCTGATTAAAACATGAGTCATTTTCATTGTTCAGGGATCCTACTTGAATACCAAGTCTACGCGCGCGCGTGCGCACACACACACACACACACACACACACACACACACACACAAGGGGGGGGAGGAGAGGGAGAGGGGACAGGGACCATGACCGCTAGACCTCTCTCCTTCCTCTTTGGCCCCCTGATACTTTGTGCCCTCATTTCCACATTTAGCCTCATCCAGTCCTGAGAGTCCTCACTCACGTTTTCTTCCCTGCGTTTTATGCTCCTGTTTTCTAGTCACAGTGACTTGGAAATACTTTGTCACTAATTTATTCTCAATTTTTTAAGGTCCTTATGAAAACCGCACTGTCTTTGAGACTTTGGACATTGGCTGGCAGCTGCTCCGAATCTTCCCCAAGGAAATGCTGAAGAGAATCCCTCAGAGCACCCTGAGCGAGTTTTACCCTCGAGACTCCGCAAAGCACTAGCTGCTGCTGCTGTGGTGTGCGTGGCCTCTTGTGACGTACTGGGTCTGTTTTCCTGGTTCTTTTTGCACTCCTCCATGCCCACCTCAGTGTGGGGGGTTTACCTGTTGCCCTGTAATTAAACATGAAGACTAGGTAACGTATTGTGCCAGTGTTGCAATGTTTTAAACTGCTACAGACTTTAAAATCTCCCTGTTCAGAGACCCCTCAGTGCTTTGTTTGAAGTAGCTGCAGGGCTGGAGCTGGAGTTTTCTTCTTGATGTATGTATTTGTATATAGTGGTATAGTGAGTTGCCGAATAATGTCCTTGTCGTTTGGGTTATCCAGACCTTACCTGTCAGCCCCTTCAAGAGTATCATTATCGTGAAGTTAAAATACTTTGCTCTTAAATTCAGCGGCAAGATCTGGTCTAGAAGAAGAGCCAAGATCTTTCCTGGGCATTTATTTCTTTGGGGTGTTGCTGTGCCCGTGGCTCTGCTCTGCTCCAGGCAAATGGATTTTGCTGTGCGCTTGCCGTCTGCTGTGTGAGGGAAGGAGTTTCTTTTCTTTCGTTACCTGCACAGCATCCTTCTGCCTTTGAGTAGCACAGAATCATGGGGCTTTACACAGCTGGCATTCATCTGATAGTGGCCCAGTGCTTTGTCCTGGTCATGGAGCCTGGTGTCCAGGCTGGGAAATCACAGAATGAAAATCACTAGTAGAATTATGGCTTGAAAAGAGTTGGGTGCGATTAAAGAAGGAAGGACAGGCTGTTTGCATTCTGTGTGCTGCTGTTTTACGGTACCTGCCCGGTGTGGGTTCTGTGTGCTGATGTTTTACAGTACCTGCCTGGTGTGGGGCACAGCGGGGAGGAAAGCGCCCCCAGATTGGTGGATACTTTAAATTCTACTCATAGAAATCCCCTGGTCAGCCCAGCTTTCCACCCCAGTTCTCTTCAGGGTAATCCTGTGGCACAGGTGACCGCGTTTCACTCATTCCTGCTCTCTGTGGCGTGACCCCGGGCCCTCTCGTGTGCAGCTCTGCCTTGTGCTCTTGGGGTCTGTTGTGCTTCCTCGGGTGCAGTAGTAACTTCCCCACTCTGTGCATTCCATCTCTCCAGCTGTGTAAAGTTCTTCCCCTTTTTCTCTGAGGAGATGGGGGGGGGGGTCAGCATGATTATATTTTAATGTAGAAAATGTGACATCTGAATATAAATGAAAATAAATGTTAAATTAAATGGAAGTTACCCAAAGTGACTCTGTATCTTCTAATGAGAAAAGCAACAAGAACAAGCAAATGCGTCTCTTCTTGGTGGTGACTATAACAGGCAGTGCTGTGGTCCAACCTGGTGCCGCGTTTCCAGGCTACTCCTTCCAACCTTTTCACTCTGGCTCTTGCAGCAAACTGGAGTTTGACCCACAGATGAGAGTTGTGAATGTTTCTGGCATTTGTGGTTTAAAACGTACTCCGGAGCACTGGAACCTGCCTGTGGTGACCAAAGATTCAGTACATAATGAAGCGAGTGAGCTTGCTTCAAATAAAAATCCTAGCTGGGTGCCTGAACACCAGAAACGGTTGGGTGGAAACACAAGCTTGTGCCATCCTGGGGGCCGCCCTCTCCTCTCTGCTCTTCCAGGCATTTCTGGAGAGGCAGAGAGAAAAGGTCAGCATGGTAAAAGCAAGAAGGACACAAGGTCCTACTGTGGCTCTCCCACTAACAACATGGCCCAGCTATTTAGCACCAACAATTCTGGGACTAGGGCGCAAGGCCCAGAGCTCAAACCCCAGTACCAAAAGGAAAGAAAACACCAAGTGTGTTTCATATGCCTTTCAGAATTAGCCTAAAGCCTAGAGATTGTGTAAGTCCTGGCGCAGCCTGGGCCACAGCAGCACAAATGGAACTAGTTTCACTAAACATTTACTAACATTGGCCTTGTGTCAGGTAAGTAGCACTCCCGCTGGCTTGTGTCTTGTTTCTTATTGAAAACATCTTCTTGGCAAGCCCTTTGATACCATTTAAATGATCTCTTCAGAAGACCAGTTAGAGAAGACAGTGTCTTCACAGGTCAGGGCAGTTTAATGAGTCAGTAAACATTTATTGCTTGCAGTTGACTGTCATTTGGGTGGGTGAGATTTCATGGAAGTGAAAAAATTTCTGCAGACTAGTGTCATAAATACCTCCCTGAGATGTTTGTTTTCAGCAGGAGTGGATGGTAAGGGTCTTGGGGTCAGTGTTGTCTGCTTTGGGATCTTCACTGGGGCTCGAGTGAGGCCCTGGGCTAAATTTCCTGTTAGAGGACAACAGAAAAAGCTGTGGGTAGAGTTCCTGGATTGAAACAAAAACATCACCTCAATAGGACATCAAGAAGGACTTACAGGGCAGTGCTCAAAGGAAAAATAGAAGTACAACGAAAAGGGTTTTCCTAATGAAACAAGACGGTTCCTTACTCAGCTAAAAACCAGTTTAGTCCAAGCCATGTTTTTCAGTGTGGGCTTGAACACCTGCCAGCAAAGCCTTACTGGGCTCTCTGCTGCCCCACTACGAGGGCAGCCAGGAGCAGGTGACTAATGCGAACAGTGACAAGTCCCTTCCAGCTACTCACGGCCACAGAGACAAAACCTGATAGGAAACTCGTGCGTGTGCCAGCGTGTGGGCAGCCTGGGAATCACGGGTGCTTCCCTGACCAGTCTGCTGCAGTTCCTACTTCAGGGGAAGCAATGCATCTGACCATGACTGGCTCTAAGGCTGGAGATGAATGAGCCCTGGAGTGGACTAGTCTGCGGGAGCCCGAGGGTCACTAGCTTATAATAAAGCAGTATTTCAGGCTGCAGTGGCCTTGTGGCCCCTTACGGACGGACCTTGCTTTCCACTGCCTGGCTGCCAGATGGCATCCTTTCCATAACAGCAGGATACTCCATAGCCCCTCCACATGCAGAAATAGCTCCTGCAGATTCCCACCACTGTAGAAACGGCTGAAGTTTAGGGACTCTAGGAGCCTTGGAGGTAGAATGACCTCGTGGGCTAGAGCCAATAACTTCAGTGTTCACAACAAGCGAGTATCTTTATGTGTGGGAAGGTAGAAGCGGGAGGTAAAGCAGACAAGAACTTGAAGCCGTCATATGCTTCATGTCCACAAGAGGGCAGCAGTGCCTGACTAAGCAGTGCTAGAGAGGGAGGTGTGTAGCCTTGTGTGGTCCCAGCCCCACTGTTAGTGTTCACTGAACTAAATGGTGCTTTTGTGGAGCTATGGTTCAGCCTGGGGGCTCTGAAAGAACGTTGAATCTATTTAAAAGATGAAGGCAAAGAGAGCAATCTATTTAAAAGATGAAGGCAAAGAGAGCCTGGCCTGGAGACCCAGCAGATCTGAGAGAGAAATGGCGGAGACGACTGGGTCCCACTGTAACAGCAGGGCCTCCGACGCGTATGAGATGTTGAGGCCCGCTTTTCAGCAGAGGGAGGCTGTGGAGGCCGTCCACTCCAGGGGCGGGCCTCTAACGGCTGGAATGTTCTTCCTGAGTTGCGTGTCCTCTTGGCTGTCCCATGGCTTTCCTGGATCGCCATCACTGTGGGGTGGTAGCCGTGTCTTCTGCGCACTTGGCTGATGTGCTGCTCCTCGTGCTAGCCCTTGCTTCAGCAGAAGAGTTGTTGCTCACACTCAGCCGGGCTTGAACCCGGATCCAGCCTTCTCACATAGAGATCTCCGTATGCTGCTGCTTGCTTTCATGTACTCAAAAGAGAAGGGCTGCTGTGGGATACAGAGACTCAGACCTTGAAAACCAGAGCCCCTGCCTTGTGGGTCGGTGGCTGGAACTGGAGGCTCCAAGAGTCTGAAAGAGGCTGAAAGAGTCCTGGGGACTGACTCCCTGAGGCCAGGACTCCGACCCGCGCTGGGCTGCTGGACGCTGCAGTGTGCTCTGAACTGAGACGTTCTGTTTTCTGCTTCTGTCATGCTTTTCCCTCGGACTTGCTGTTCAGAAGCACTCAGGCTTAACTAGCACCAGTGTGCTCCCATTAATGGTTTACTTAATAGATATTTGTGGTGCAGACGGAACTTGAAAAGTACAGGTAAGTGCAAGGTGGAGAATCCCCTAGCCTATGACTTGGAGAATCATTTCATCATAGAGACTCTCCTAATGTCATGTCTTGGGGCTGGGAATGTGGCTTTGTGGTAGAGTGCTTGCCTAGCATGCATGAAGCCCTGGGTTCAATTCCTCAGTACCACATACACAGAAAAGGCCGGAAGTGATGCTGTGGCTCAAGTGATAGAGCAATAGCCTTGAGCAAAAGAAGCTCAGGGACAGTGCCCAGGCCCTGAGTTCAAAAAGAAAAGTCATGTCTTTAGTGCCTTTTTGGATCCTTCCATCCATGCATATGCGATCAAGGCAGTGGTATTGGAAAGCTGTGTATGTATGCCAGCTGGGAACTGAATGCTTGGACTTACAAAGCAGTGAGCCATGTGGTTCCATCCAAGTCATGTGAAAAAACCATACAGCTCATAGGAACAAACAATAAATTCTCCTCCCTTCCCCCAGAACTCAGGGATTGAACTCAGGGCCTCACACTAACTCTCCACTCCCAAGACTCACCTTCAGTCATTTTTCTTTCAACTTTGCACGCACTGATCCCCTGCGCTGGCATTCTGTCTCCACCCCCTAAGCAGCAAGGATGACATGTGGAACACCAGGCCAAGCCAATGGTGTATTTTTTTTTCTGAATTTTCCAAAGAATTAAGAATTGTGGCTCCCTAGCAGTATTTGAGTTGGTTTTGTTTTTGAGACAGAATCTCACGTTGTCACCAAGCTGGACTTGAACACCTGAACTCAAGTGATCCTCCTGCCTGAGCCTCTAGATGAGCTGGTGTTGCAGGCACTGGCCATCATACTTGCCAGGGCAGCTTCCATCTGCGCAGGCCTCGGGAGTGTCATCCGTGAACTGTGCTTCAGTTCCCTCTGTTCCTGTGAGCCCTTGCGGACCAGTGGCGAGGCTGCACCCGGGCAGGGCATGCAGGGACAGCACCAGGCGAAGGAGAACCCCGTTCTTCCTAGCCCTGAAGGCAGAGACGCGGTGTGGGCGGAAGGGCTTATAGGTGCCGAGAGAGAGGTGGAGCCTAGAACCTGCGGTGATCTCTGCGAATTACCCGGTGGTGGTCTAAGGATTCTGAAAGATGCGAGAGTGCATGAAGGCCGGGAGGCCTGTTGAAAGAAACGTAGTAAACGGTCAGGTTCATGACCTCTCCAGGGGACCTGCAGTAGGTCATAGTGGAAGCAGTAAATGTGCCCTGCACCATTGAAGGGGATGCAGGGGGGGGGGGGGGACAAGGGGGGGTGATGGAAAATGGGGGGGCGTGAACAGGTTGATCTGTGTATGGATAGAATAACAGGCATATACTCCACCTAGTGGTCATATGGAGAGCTGCATGACCAACACCAGAGTCGGTGTTTCAATACATGTCTGGTCCCCATGCTGCCCCCCATCTCCCACCCTATCCTAGGCAGCACTGATCTTCCTGTCCCCAAGGACTTGCCTGTTCTGGGTAATTCATACAAGTGGGATCATATATATACATATACATATATATGTGTGTGTATAGTGCTTTTTAAAAAATGATTCTGAAGTTCATGCCTGTTGAAACGTGTATCGCCCTTCATGAATTCCTGAGTATTCTATTATATAAATATATTGCATTTTATTTATCCATTCACTGGTTTGTAGACATGTGGGTTTGTTTTCCCATTTTTTTAAATTT